TGTACGGCACCGAAACTGTGGTCTTGTGTGTACTTCCCCACTCAGGACACAGGTGCTAACATAACATGTCAGGTGTAAATGTCCATCCATACAGAAAGTAAGTTGGCTTCACGGAACTTTTTTCAAAGCATCCCAATGAATACAAGATTCCTCACATGCATTCAGAGGGCTCGCTTTCCTTGCAACTTTTTGGGAGCAGTTGCATTGAAAATGAGGGATAAGATTAGGAGATGAGTTAGCAGGGATCAGACGATGTTCAGGGGTCATGTAATAAAATTCTGTATTATTGCAGACGCCAAAAACGTTGGAGATGAAAGTGTGCTGGACTGGGAGCATCTGCCACAAGTGGTTTGGCATAACATCTGCGTCCCTTGGTAGCGTTTATCTCTTCACTGAGCAGCTAACCTTCTCGAGCCATCCATGCGCCACATCCGGGGGGACACTGTGTTAGGAACCCTTGCCAGGTCTGAGGTCTGCTCTCTGGGGCCACCTGCTTCCCTGTCTGGGCCTTGGTTTCTTTACCTGTGAAATAGAGATCGTGACACCTACCTCTTCGAGCTCTTTTAGGACCAGAGGAAGTGACTCCCAATGGGCACACGGTAAAGAGTAGCTTAACATATTTTGGATTTGGGGGGAGGGGGGGTTAATCTTCACCCGAGGATTTTTCATTGATTTTTAAAGACAGTGAAGAGAGGGGAAGAGACAGAGAGAAGCTTTGATGTGAGAGACAAACATCAATTGGTTGCCTCCTGCAGGCACCCCGACGGGGGCCAGGGAATCGAGCCTGCAATGGAGTACGTGCCCTTGACGGGAATTGAACCTGAGACCCTCCAGTCCCAGGGCTGATGCGCTCTCCACTAAGATTTTCTTTTCTTTTTTTAAAAAAATATATTTTATTGATATTTTACAAGAGGGAGAGAGAGGGATAGAGAATTAGAAACATCGATGAGAGAGAAACATTGATCAGCTGCCTCCTGCACACCCCCTACTGGGGATGTGCCCACAACCGAGGTACATGCCCTTGACAGGAATCGAACCTGGGACCCCTCAGTCCACAGGCTGACGCTCTATCCACTGAGCCAAGCCGGTTAGTTCACTGAGATTTTCTAACTATGGGGGTAACAACGTCCTATACTTATATAATCTTTTCCATCTGGGGTTCTTTATTTTATTATTTTTATTGATTAAGGAATTACATATGT